GCTGTCAGAATCTTTGGGTGCATTACTTAAACAGAAAAACAGGTATGAGCCGAGGCTGAACTAGCAAAGGATGAAGTGCTAGTGGTATCGTACAGACTCTTGCAGTTCACATGATGAGAAACTTCAAAAATGTTCCTCCTTTACACATTTGGTATTGTTTGTTCTTCTGACCCTATTGTCAGGGCGCTATGCATTTCCTTGCTCTATCTGAGAAGAATGCAAAACAAACTACTTTAGCTTAGGTATATTTTTTGTTCCACATGTGCTTCCTTTTATTTAAGTTCAAAAATTCTTTACTGAATTTATGAAAATTTCAAAGACTCTTCAGAACAGGATACAGCACAGTATGTATTCCTGATAAACATTTATTATTCCTCATGTTTATTGTTACAGAGTCAGGCAACAGGGACATGTCCCTTCAGATCTTGGTACCCCCTACAAGGCTAAGAGCAGAGGAAGGGCTGGGGGTGGTGGGCACACCTAGGGTGACAGTGGGGGTCGAGGGAGTAATCCACCCTCTTTTTAAGGCCCATGTCCAGTTTTAGATTCTATTCAGAAAGGCTAATGCTGGGTCCCTGGGGTGGGGAACTTTTTAGGAAATAAGGCTATGAACAGCACTAATTTTCTTTATCAAGTAGCCATCAGCTGTCCCTGAAAAGCTGGGACATACTGGAATATTAGCAAGATAAATATTAACTCATTTAATCCTCCTAACAAGTTTAGATGTATACTATTATAAACCTCACATTACAGGTAAGGAAACCAAGGCACAGAAAGGCTAAGTGACTTCTCCAAACAGCTAGTAAGTGGTAGAGCTGGATTCAAACCCAGGTGGTTGACTTCAGCATCTGCTCTCAATCACTTCCCACGCTCCCTCTATGGGTTTATGCTCTTTTCGGTCTCTGAGCCATTCAGGTATTCTCCTGGCTGGTGGAAGGAATGGTGTCACATTAAACACACACACCCTACACTTTTTTAAAAATTACAAGCTGTCATTTTTTTCCCTTTAGTGACTAGTTAGGCTGAGAAACCTCCATTAATTTGGATCCTGTCAGATTGGCTAAGAATCTTCATCTTGCCTGTAGGAGAGAGGGAGAGAGACATAGGACAAGCAACTTGCCGAGATCATAAAAGAAATTACTCACTATTCACTCCCTTGGCTTCGACCTAGGGGCTACTATTAGACCTCAGTCTCCAGTAGGTTTCTTTGCACCTATTAAAGAAATGTGTCCTTTGCAGTTTGAGAGGCATATTCATCATATTCACACCAGTTCTTGGGAAGAAAACTAAGTCCCACACGCCTCCCTCTGTAAAGGGAAAGGCTCATGCTACAGTTCACTGTTGAGAAAATGAGTGTAAGAAAAACAGGCAACAGGTAAACTCTTAATTATGTCTCCCAGGAATGTGGCAGGACCCTGCTATGCTTCTGCAGAAGACAGAGTGACCCAAGGCCACTGACTCTTCTGCCACTGCATACATAGCCCTGGGCCAGCAGCTGTCCCTACCTGCCTCCTTTGCAGATAACCCTCTGGTTTTCCATTTGGAAGCTATAAATTTCAGCATCTGGACGAATGTTAGAGGCCAGCTGCCTCAATCCTTTCCATTCGTAGATGAAGAAAACTGAGGTCAACTTTGGAGACCACAGCACATAATGCAGGGGGAAAACATGGTATGTTGGGGAGGATATGAGATGATTTCTGCCCCATTTCAGAATGGAAGGCTTTTCTATTAGTTTTGACTTTTCTCCACTTTCCCAGCTTGCCACAGTGTTGATTCTATTAGTCCCCAAAACAGTCAATGTGCACTTTTTCTCCAGGCTCCAACATGCTTCCTGATATGATTAAAGACTACATGGGCTCCAAGTCATCTTGAGCTCCCCAAACACTCCTTTTCTCCCCAAACACTCTCATTTATTTCATACTATGAAGGGAGGGCCATCTCTATAAGTGCACAAGAACTGGAAAAACCTAACAGCTCTGTAATAGCGCTCCATTTATAACAAGAGTAAGCATATATTGGGCCAGCCCTGTCCTAAGAGCTTTACAGCTCTTATCATTTATTCCTCAAAACAGTTGTGTGAGGTAGGGGCTATCATGATCCCCATTAGGAAGATGAGGAAGCCAAGACACGAAGTAGGGACATGCTTGAGGATGCAGCAATAGTAAGCATTCTTAGGGACCAAGAAGTTCCACAGTGACTGGGTTTCTGATAACCTGTTTCTGTCTCTTTGGTGTCCAGACCATTTAATTTGGGATGAAAGTCACAGCTCAATCACCCGGCTCACACATGGATTTGAGCATCCTATAATGGCTCTGGGTCTCCAGGCACAGAGCTCCAGGCCAGCTGGGATTCTGTGAACGTCCCCCCTGCCAGCTGCTGTCAACAATCACTTCTCAGCTCTCAAAGGGCTTGCTTCTAGAGTCAGGGCCTCATACCCACTCCCCAGTCCACTTTCTTATTTCCAATCCTTTGTGTGTTGGGAAATCAAACCACTCAGCAGGGACATTCTGAATTTTCTAAAAGGTATAATAAATATCTATTAGCTTCACTTCTTTCTGACTTGTAGTTCCATCTTGAAAAAATAAATCAGAAATCATGGCAGAGAGCCCATGGGAGTTCTGAGGCACTGCACTAAATTAGCAGACCTTTCCTACTCCTTATAGATGCTTAGGCTCTGGGACGTTACCAGGTAGGGCCTGCAGGATAACTGAGGTGTTGAGTGGCGCGGTTGCATTTCATCCATGTGCCCACGGGCAGAAAGGCCTGCACCCTGCCTTTGCCAAAGAACACGCCCGGAGTCACACAGAACTGACACTGGTGAGGCTTCTTTGAAGGAAACAGTTTTGAAATGTTTACCCAGAGACTCCCTGGACTCAAGAAGCATTTCTACATGGCTCAGGACTCAGTTTCCTCTTAGAAGCTGCCTGGTGTGAAAGCCAAATGGACACTTTCCTTCAGGGAAGGGGCTCCACTCCTCTGCTTAGAGGAAGTGGGCATCTGCCCTGACTCCATCACGCCCTTCCCTCGGCCCAAGGCAAACATTTCTGAGACAGTCGGACTAGACAAGCAGCATAGTATCATGACTACAGCACATTGACTCAGGGAGGGGAGACTGGGAGAAAGACAGCCCTGTGGGGACAAGATCCAAAATTCTTCTAATCCCTCTTTTGATAAACCACTCAGTGACCTTGAGCAAATCACTTAATCTCTATATGAGTTTCTCAGAAAATAGGACCATCCCACCTGCCCCACCTTTATCCTTGAGTTACTGGACTAAATGAGGTTGCTGTTGGAAGCATTATGAAACTACCCATTGCCAACAAGCCAGACACAGGTTCTCTCAGTCCTTCCCTCTATCTGCAGCCCAACTCACTGGCAGGTCACACCTACACTGATGGCTGAGCCATGATGCTGGGTCGCCATTCACTTCAGAAGCAGGCGCAGAAGGGGCTTGGATCTAAAGCCAGAAAACCATGATCAAGAAATAAGATGTCCCATCTGGGGCTGGTGGTAATATGATAAGGCCCCCTCACAGCCTGCCGCATTGTTAGGTCATTTCCTATCTCCTGAGCCTCCCCTGAGGGGGTACCACCAGCAGGTCAGAGCTGGGAATCCACACTCCCTTCCCTGGGCCACTGATCCCTACAAGAAAGAACCCTTCAACCCCATAACCAGCTTCCGTCCAGGATACCTGACTGACACGCTGAAGTCAGCAGTAAGTCAAAGGCCCTCTCACTCCTGGCATACTTTGTTTTCAGCGCCCACCTAAGAGTCCCCAAACTTTAAGGATCTCTAAGGCTGTGATCTCATCAAAGTCTAAATAAGCCATGTTCCCCTGCCTTTTTGGTAAGAACTTTTTGGTCCCCCTCATCATTTTTTTTCCCTAACTGCAAGTGCCTTGGACTTTTGCTGTTGTTACAGTTTTAAGTAAATAGTCTCTCTCGTAAGTGGCAGACGGTCATCACATTTTCCAGTGGAAGAAATTCAAACAGTAGGAAGTCAAATCACTTCACCCAGAGTTTGCTGTTTCTCACAGCCTCAGCAATGAGGAACTCTGCCTCAGTGACTCAAGACAAAGCATACCTCCAAGGCTCCAAATCCAGAATTATCGGAAACTTAGAGGGGGAGCCAGGGGAGCTCCTCACTCAGCTGAACCTAGCCAGGTCAGTAAATGCCTTCAGGCTGCATTTTTACATCTGTGAACTCTGAGCTAATGGAGAAACCAAGGCAGGCTGAGGCTTTGGATGATCCACAGAAACTACACTATGCCTCAGGTGAATAAAATGCAACTTCTAAGGGTCATAAAATGCAGACAAAACTAAATAAAGATAATTTTCTTTCCCTCTCTAGACCTTATACCTTCCCACAAACAAGGCCTCTTGAAACTTACAATACTCTACAGTGGTCCCTACTACGGAGCAGGCAGCAACCTGTCCCAATTCCCCAGGAAAGGTGTATTTCTGGGCAATGGGCTCCACACAGTCAACTCCAGCCTTGGGATCCCTAGGTCCACTGACAACCCTTCAAAAAAAATTGCCAGTTCCTCCCAAGCAAAGAGCTGAAAACAGGGAAGGCCACCAGGTATAGGCAAGGATGGCTCAACAGGCAACCTTTACTCAATGCTGCCAGAAGCTTTCAGGCACTGTGGGAGAAAAGGGGTGAAGAGGTTGGGGCGTTGGAACGTTTTTCCCAGGGAGGGCCGCCAAATCTAAGGTGAGACAGCTGCCTCTTCCCTAACCAGTCCCACCTAACGGGAGGGCTGGTTCTTGCTTAAGGATGAAGCCCTGCTCCTTGAGATTGTCAGTGCACCCCGCTGATGTTTACAAAGGTGCGGTCAGCATTCAAAGAACCAAGACGTTATTTTGATATTTTTTAAATGTTAAAGGCCATCACAGCAGCCAATTAAGAAGTATATGAGAGCTTGCTTGCGTTAAATACTGGAGTGCATTAGAGAGCTGGCGTCTCCCACTGTGCGCTTAGGTGAGGTGGGGAAGAGTTACCTGGCCAGGTCGAGGAAAGAGTCCACTGTCTCTTTGGGAACCGGAGTGGACCCCAAATCCTCCAGCCCCAGGTCGCTGGACCGAAGGGTCTGTGCGCCAGACCCAGGCTTGATGATGAACGCCAAAGCGACGGCAAGCGCGGAGGCGCCTAGCGTGGTGAGGCCGAAGTAGGCAATGGCGATGCCGCCCAGGCGCCCAAGAGAGCTGGCATCGAGGGAGGCGGCGCCCGACACCAGGCTGCAGACCACCAGCGGCAGGATGATCATGCGCAGCATGCGGAGCAGCATGTCGCCCGGAAAGGCCAAGTAGGTGACCTGCGTGCGGCTTAGCCCGAGCCTGCGCAGCGCCGCGCCCAGGCCGGCGCCGGCCAGCACCCCAGACACCGTGAGCAGCACTAGCGCGTGTCGCCGCAAGAAGCCGGTGCAACGTCGCGCGCGTCCCGCAGCCGTCCCAGACGCGCCAGGCCCCGCTGCAGGCCCCGTTTGGACGCTGTCTAGGTAGCCATCGGTCTCGCTGCTCTTCTCCATGGCGCTGTCTGCGGCTCCCAGCTGGAGGAAGCGGGGAACTTGGGCTCGGGGGAAAGACAGGGCTCTCAGTGAACGGATCACGCAGAGGGGCGAGGACTGCCAGCTATACCCCGCGGGTTCTGGGAGCCGGCCCGCTGGGGGGCTCCCGGGCTGGGAGCAGGAATCAGGTGCGGAGCCGGCCAGCAGAGGCGCGAGCGACCAGCAGGAGTCCGGGCCTGAGGGGATAGCGCCGCGCCCAGCCTTCCCACTACGGCCGGGCTGCGGATGATGCAACGCGCGAGCCGCGAGGGAGGACGCGGATGCGAAGAACTGCCAGAGCTGGGAGGGACCAGAAGCCCCTGCCTTCACACCCGGCGCCCCGCCCTCCGCGGCTCCAGCCAATCAGTGCCAGGGGCCCCCGCGCGCACCCCTCGCTCTGGCCGCCGGTGCCGGTGGAGGGGAGGTCGTGCGGGGGGCGCTGCCCGAGGCCGCTGGGACGCGGGCTGAGCCGGCCCATCCCCGCGCCCGCCGCCGCCTCCGGGCCCTGCTAACGGGTGCCGGCTCCCAGCGCCCGCGGGGTGGCACAGCCTGAGGGACGGCTCGGGCTCGTTGGCACCTGCCCAGACCGCTCGGGCCGGCCGGGGTCTGGGCCCTCGGGGTCAGAGGGCCCAGAAGAACCTGGAACGCAGTCGCGTTCCTTGTCCTGTGGGCTGGGGGAGGAAAGGGATTCCCTCCAGAGTTGCAGCTTTCATGCGCACTCGGCTCGTCGTGGGCGCGAGAGCACACCGGCCTCTCGCATAGGGGCCGGCGCGGTGAGAGGGCCCCCGGCTGTCCTTCCGCCGTTTAGTTCTCCATCAAATCCTCCCCTCCAACAAGAGTCCTGTGGGGTTAACAGCTGTAAAGCATGCCGGGGTCCCCAGCGTAGGCCCTGGCCCCCAGACAAAGGATAGCTAGCTGAATGAATGAATGAACTAGAAAAGCCTTTACTACCCGCTCATTAGGGCTCCGACAAAGTCTCGCCCGTTAAGCGATACGGATCAGCCAGCGTCCGGTCGGGGTTAGCGCACATTAGCCCGCTCAGAGGCGCGTGGCTTGGATAGGCCCTGGATTGCCCGGCAGCTGTCTGCAGTGTGTGGTTTGAAGATGCAAAACTCTTATAGAAGAAACAGATCTCTCTCTCCAGCACTGCAGGCTGTTTTTTTACCACATAACTCGGCTGAAACACACAGCCACTGGATTTTTAACCTCTTCCATTCCCTGGCCTCCAGGCATCGTGCAAAAAAAAGTGCGAACAGCCGTTTAGCCCCCCTGCATAGATGGTTCTTTCATGCTCACATTTGATTCATTTCCTTTTTTTTTCAACTTTTATTTGATATCTGCTCTGGTCATAGCCATGAAAGAGAAACCTCTGCAGAGTCGTTTTGCTCTGGTACATTTACTAAATTTTTTATATTTTCTCATTCTGCTTTTGAAAGGAATCGTTCTTTTAAGACCTGTTAAAGGAAAAGTCTTACATGTGGCTAACCTGGATGAAGGAGGAAGGCAATTTACAAACAGGGTGTACAGAAAAGGAGTCATCGTAAGAAGTCATACCATATTTGTGTAAATCAAAATGCCTTCCCAAGGAAATTTAAAGAGCTGTCCAAAGCTTGAGACAGTAAGCATTTTGCTGCTTGAAGCCCACCAGCCAGCCACCCACTATTGGACCTTGAAGGTTTTTTTTGAGGGAGGAAACAGAGTTTGTGTCAGGTGAAGAACTATAAATATTTTTATCTGATTTTGGAGAATGCAGTTTATTTCTCTGTGTGCACTAAAAAGAGAGGAATTTCTACAGACACACTCTGTTTTGCTAACCAGCAGTTCCTTTTGTTTTGACTAGCACTTTTATGGGAAGAACTCTCAAATCATGCTCCAGAAATTGATTTCCAGTTGCTTGATGTCCATCTCCACCTGGATATTCTGCAGGCATCCAACTCAACATGTCCAAAACTGAACTCATGGTTGCATTCCTCCAGCCTGCTCATCCTTCTGACTGCCCTGTTTCTGTTACCAATGTCACTGACTGCCCAGCAAGCTCTGCTTGAAACCTCAGTGACCTTTGATTCTTACTTCTCCAGTGTCTCCTCTCATCTGATCAATTGCCACAACCCACAGACACTGCTTTCACAATATTTATCACATCCACCCCTCCTCTCCATTCCCACTGCTACCATATGGGCTCAGTTCTTATTTCCTCACTTCCTATCTTGACTATCAAAGTGTTCTCCTAGTCTTACCACTTCCAATGTTCCTCCTGTTCCAGCCATCCTATATTTTGTCTTTCCCCAGGCCAATCATCCTAATGAATAATACACATGTTAATATTAGGTTCAGCTTTCATCCAGCATGGGATTTTTTAAAAAAAGAAGAAGAATGCCATCTGTCCCTTTAAGAACATTTCGTAAAAGCTGCGCACACTATATCCTTTATATTTCATTTAGTCACATGACCTCACTTAGCAAAAAAAAAAAAGTAATATTTATTTTGCACAAGCATATACCCAGTTAAAAATCAGGGCCTCTGTTACTAAGGAAGCAGGAAAGAATTATACTGGAGGACAACTTCATATCACTTCTTGTTCGAAAGCTTTCAGTGGCTCCCAACTGAATTAAGATTAGGCTCTTTATCCTGGCCTTCAAGACCTACCGTGATCTGGCCTGAGCTCACTCTCCAGGCTTGTGCTGTCTATACATGTTACAAAGACAGGACTGTGTGCTGCTTCCACATTTTCTTGCTTTTCCATTCAGTCCCAGTTTAGATATCACTTCTCTCCCAAAGCCTTTCTTGGTCCACTTTGCTCCAGTTCTGCTGGCTGCCCATAGCTTTGTGCTCTTCCTGTGCACCCCAAAACTGTGTTAATTGCTAACCCTCAGTTGGGACTGGGGAACTCCCTGCACTGGACATAAATGTGGTGCTGAGTGGGAGAGCAGTGTTTGGGGTGCCTTTTGTCAGTCCTAATGCCTCTCTCATTGAACTAGCAACACCTCTCCCTGAGGAGGAGCTCGTCTCTTGGGCCTTCTTTCAGGGACTGGCTGTTCAATAGCTGCTCTGCCTACATGTGAGGCAAGCCAAAAAATAGGTGTCCACTCCTGGCCTCCCCAACAGTTGGAAAGGGTTTCACTTTTTGCCTTCTTTTTCTTTCCTTCTTCCTTTCCCTAATCCTTCTTCTTTCGCTCTTCCCTTACATTTCTTTCTGTCTTTTCATAATTTTACATGTCTCCTGCTTATAAGTACTAAGTACACACAACAAAAGTTTGATTCCTGTATTTAGACACCTTCCCCATAACACTTACATATGCTATCTCTGGGTTGTAGATGTATAAGTACCAAATTGCAAAATACCTTAAAAGGCGTCTAGTCCGGTACCAGTCACGATCACCACCACCATCATTGGGGGCTTGTATGTTTCCACAGGTTAGAGTATTGTCCAGCAAGTATTTCCTTTCTCCTTCCTCTCACTTGGACTGAGTGTACTTCCTCACCCTTTTGACTTTGTGCTTGACCATGGGACCAACTGGGCCAGTGGAATAAGTTGATGTGAAGCAAGCAAAGACATCAAAATATTTTTGCAGAGTCGTGCAGGGACTCCTGCCTGCACGTGACTCAGCATGCTTCAAGTAGATGTTGCCTCTTCTGCCTGGCATCAGAACAAAGAGGAGTGTGCCTGAACCTACCTGGTAGCCCTGAGCAAGCCCAGCTTCCCTACCTCCTAAAGAAGAGTACCCCAGGCAACTCACAAACTCATGAGTGAGAATAATAAGCACTGTTAAATCCACTGAGTCTGGGCATCGTAAGTGCTGTATTTCTGTGGCAATAGCTGAATAATACAAATTCTCTCTTCAACAACTGTTCCAGTTACCTGTTTTTACATAACAAACCACCCCAGAGTGGTAGTGGCATAAAATAATATCCATCTTCTTATGCTAATGATTTGGTAGGCCAGAATTCAGACAGGACACAGCAGGGAGTCTCGCCTCTACTCCATGATGACTGGAGCCTCAGTTGGGGTGGCCTACTGGCTGGAGATGGCTGGGAAGATCTACCTGGGCCATATGCCCAAGGCCAAGGTTTTGGCTGTCCTCTGGGAACCTTGGTTCTTTCCCACATTGCAGCTAATGAGGCTAGAATGTCCTCAATGACTCTTGCATTCACACCAGTGGTGCCTGGGCTAGTGCAGCTAGAATAGGTGGGGCTAGCTGGGTATCTCTCTATCTGTGTGGCTAGCTGGGCATTCTCACAGCATGGCAGTCTCAGTGTAGTCAAATTTCTTATATAACAGTTGACTTCCCTCAGAGTGAGTGTTCTAAGAAATCTAGGTAGAAGCTGCAAGACTTCTGAGTGAGCCTCAGAAGTTCTAGTACATCGCTCCCTTCACATTCTGTTGGCCAAGCAAGTCACTAAGGCCAACCCTAATTCATGAGGATGGAGAACTAGACTCTACCTCTAAAGGGCAGAAGAGCAAAGGAAAGCAGTTAGACATTTCCTTTGGCATCATTTAGTCATGTTCTTAAACCCGTGACTGTGTCATCCATCATGAAGAAGAATCCGTTTTCCTGATTAAAGCAATGGTATGGAGTTTTTACTTATGAAGGGATGACAATCATGGTTTCCCTACCCTGTCAAAGCAACTCTCATTCCCAATATACTTATGTATTGTGAATAGTTTGTATTGTACACACATGCTGGCTTTTGCCAGTAAAGAGGCTATCTCAGTTCTAACTTTACATTGATGATAGTTCAATATTTTCCATATTCTTTCACTAGAATTGCTAGTGCATCATTGGAATTACATGGCAGGAATTATTTTCTGCCATAAATGAACTGAAAAGGGAAAATTGTATCTTTCATCACAAGCAAATTTGGATTCTAGAGTACTTCTTTACCTTACCAAGATATACCAGACAGTTTAACTAACAATTATATTAAAAAGGTTAAACTATAGTTTAACTCTTTCCATGTCAGCAAAACACAGCTTTGTAGAAAATGCAATGTGATTTTTGAAAAAGAATATTTGCCTTTGAAATAGATCAGATGATTTAGCACAAATCCAAAATAAGTTTTTCTTTCATGGTGAACAACTTAGTATTCAGTGGCATACTGGAATCAAAGCACTAGTGATGGTGTAATTTGCAATTCCTCCTCTAGACTCCTGTCAGTATCATTTCTACCCACCAAAAAGAAAAAAGGGGCCATAAAGATGCCCCTCAAACCAAAAGGTCAGGCACAGACTCAGATAAGCAATGTGAGTCATAGTAAAAGGGAATTTGGTCAGAGTGGGAGTAACAGGCAAGTTGAAACAGAAATAA